CTTGGGGTTTCAAGATGCTCTAACGAATCAAACCTCTTTCATGAAATCTTTCTTGGAATTTATAAAACCTTAACTTTAGAATCATCTAGCAAATATTGAGTTTCGAAGGTAGAACTATACTTTTCGCCTTTTTTTAAGTCTAGAAATGGTCCCTCTTCTCTTTTTCTGCTGGGGGTACGTTTAGATATATAATGGTAACAAAGGGAATCCAAGAGCCATGTAGTCCAAAATAGTCTTTCAAATCCTAGTTTCCAGCTAAAGTTTTCAGATCTTTCTCTTTCTTTTCAAGGTTTTTTCTGATTCACCAAACTCCGATGATCTGGGGTGGGAAATAGTTGTTAGCGTATCTACCGCACCGGCTTCACCTCGAAATCCTTCTGCATGTAATGCATGGCATGCTACTTAATTTAGTTAATCCTAAAACGACCAGAAGCTGATAAGAAGACTCAAGGTAATAAAAGTGCAAGGTGAGATGGGCAGTTCGATATGTCCTTCCACTGGCTCATTGTTCCCTTTTCTCCTGACTTGTCAGTTGCTTATTATTTCTCATCCTACAACTTTTTACCAGCGAATTTCGGCCATTTTTAAAATGTGATGAGCTCCATAGCGATATCGATAGTCAAGCAGCGAGAGAGTGATGTTTACAAGCCTTAGAATTCGTTCGAAAAACTCCTTTTTCGATTTCAATTTCTGCTCAGCTATGAAGGATAGTTTAGAATCATCTACAAGCTAAAACCGTAGAGAATCGTCCCAGTGCATTAGATTTTTTCGAACTCCCTATACCATTCTTTGAGGGCGTCGGCTTCCCATGGAACAACTCCCGTTTGAAAGACCTTGTTCTCTGGATCTGGTTGATTCCCTTTATATACTTCGCTCATCTAGATATGGTATGGTATGTTGCCTACCATGAAACGATGGGCGAAGTCAAATCGATAGCAGCTACCGTAACTTAGACGAATTTTATTTTTATACAATGCCCATTTAAAGTACCGCATTCGCTGAATTTCAAAGCGTTTTCGAAGTATCGATCGTGAATGGAATTCTATCATACGCAGTTGACAGTTCCTCACCAGCAAACACTTTTTTTACATAACTCCTTTATCATCCTTCTCCTCCCATTTCCAGTTCGCCCGAGCACTCCTCTTGTTCTACCGCTTACGGTTACTCCGCTTACGACATCTGATTTGAAGGAATTTTTCGGGCTTTGACTGACCCTGAAACTCATTGAAATCGTAAAAAATTCTCATTGCTCTCGTGGGCGTGGACTGATAACAGAGTGACTGCTGGATGCTATGTAGTGTTCTCATAAACCTCATGTATTTTCCTGCACCTTTGCATTGATTTTGGATTTTATAAATAAGGCACGATTTGTCAACTTGATTTTCTTGCACTAGTGGAATTTAAAAGTTTGAAAATAAGCTGGTACTACATTGAAAATAATGTTGCTCAAGGAAATACCAGGTGTTGAACAAGACGTTGCCACATGTCATTACTATCCGTGGCTGTGCTTTGTTCCTCAGAAGGCAAATAAATTAGGCGTAAGTTCAGGTAGATGCAGTGGTAATGCTACGCAAGTGCAGACAGTGATAAGTGCTTATACCTGAGTTCAGTTATGTGTATCCGCAATCGTGGATGTGAATCGAATTCTATCCCTTCTTCCCAGGTAGATTGAATCTTTGCCCATGTGAGTCCCTTATCTCCATGAATTCCCATAGACGCTGTCGATGTTAAGACGCTTGAGCTTTTTGCTTTGCGTGACTGAAATAAAATTTATTTCTTCCTACAAGTAGGCATTGATGGCGAGTTCCCTTCACTTTCAGAGAACCCAGCCTTTTTTCATAGCCTTTGTGAATATTTTTCAAACCATCTTTCATACAACGAATTGCGTTTGCCTGGGATATCAGGGTAAATTACAGTAAGATAGAACCACGTTTAATCTTTTNTTTTCTAAATTCTAGGCATGATTCGGTGTTGGGTAATTTTGTTGGTGCTCTCTCTGCACTCCATCGACGGTTATAAGTTTCTCATCTACTCTCCTTTATACGGCTATTCTCATACAAACTTTATGGGAGCCATAGCAGACACCCTGACGGAAGCTGGCCATGATGTGGTAAGTGGAGCATTTCTAACTACAGTGTCCTAGTCATGGTATTCAGTTCCACTGTAGCGCCTCCGTCGAAGACACAGAGGCTGTAGTTAGAGCGCTGAGGACACTACCAGCTTTGTAAAGGGGTAAATTAACCAAAGCGCTCCGTCGTTGGCCCTTCTACATAAGCAAGCGAATTGAGAAACAAGATGAAACAAACACTTCCGCTTTTTATCCTTTTCCGTTCCCGGTGGAACTGTTGTGGCCTATCGTGCTTTCCAAATCTCTTCACAAGGACTCCACATAGCTTTTGAGGGGTTTCCGTTCCAGTTATGAAAATAAGCCATTATTTATATTGTAGACCATGTTGATGCCAATCGTGGACGTAGAGCAGGAGAATAAGACTGGAGTGAAGCTGACGAAGAAAATCATCAAAACCCCTCCACTTGCACAAGTTGAGGAATTGTTGAAATACAAATCGGTCATATTCAGTCGAATATGGACAGCACCACCGAGTATATTTAGCCTCATGCAGGTGAGATTGGAAACGATAAAGCAGATTAAATTTTGAGGTTTATTTCATCTTACAATTTTCGTCCGCTCATACTAAAGCTTGACTGCTTCCAAATTGTCGTGGACTATGACTTTGACTCTCTAATTGAAATTCAGCCAAAAACTTGCCTAGACGATGGCAGTCTATAGTAGTGCCGAGTAAAATTTCGTTGGAATTCTAAAGAATTATTTTTATAATCTCGTATTTCAGTTGGCACAAAATATGACGGCTATATTCGCTGCACAGTGTGAAGGTGAGTTGAAGAAATCATACCGAGGTCGCTCCTACAGGCAAGTCTCTGTGCTGCCCGGACTTCCAAAAAAGACATTTTTTGCTTGGGTCCCACAATCAGTCCATATTATCTCTCGGAGCAAGGGATCATTCATTATATTACTCGTAACGCCACAACTATCTAACAAGTCACGGCCATGAGTCAAGAACTAGGCTTTCTCCAAAGATCCAAAGTTCCTTAGAAGATGGGTAAGAAAGCTACGGTAGCCGGATCCAGTTCCCGGTGAATCCCTCGACGTGGAAGATCTAGTGTTTCTGATAAATGGTTTGCTCAGTTACTTACCCTGTAATGACCCATTCCATCTTTCCGAAGCTATTTAGGCTGATGCTGCTCAAAACCTGGGTTTTAAGTGGGATCACATCACAATCATGACAAATTTTAGATTTGATCAACAACGACACCCTAATGAAGCAGCTGGCTGATGAGAAATTCGACGTGGGAGTTGCTGAAGCTGTAGGCATATGCGGTTTAGGTGGGTATTGATTGAAATACCATACCACAAGGCGATTGAGCTATTTCAAGACCAATTAAAAAGGTTGTTATTGTTTTCAGGTATATTTGAAGTTTTAAAAACCCCATCTTCAATTGTTACTTGCTCTAATGTACATATTGATATCGTGTCGAGAAGCATTGGAGAGCCGTTAGTCCCGAGTTACGTTCCCGGTAAGTAAAGCAATGAAAAACGAGTCTGCATTTACTGCAGTAACTTTTTTCATCAAGCTGAGCATTTTTCATTATTCATGACGAATTTTCTTGAGATCCCACTTGTTTCAGGAGGTATGGCCACTAAAGGTGATCGCATGGCATTTCTTGATCGACTAATGAATGTTGTTGACATGGTGATGACTCAAAAGTTTTTTCGGGACCTCTTCGTCGAAGAACTCAAAGTATTTCGGGCTAAATTTGGCCCGCAATTCAAAGATTACGAGGTGAGCTCGGAAGCTGAACAAATCGTGAGGCTTATGCTTTAAATGCTTTACTTCTTGTTCTAAATGTACCATTTTGAAGTCAAAGTTGGGGCAAAATATGGCGAAAATGTTCCGTTAGTCGCATCCCGATTGCTTAGACGGTTGCAAAAATTAGCTGGGCAAAACATTAATTGGACCCCCTTTTTACTAAATCAACATCTGCTAAGATTGTTTGGAGGAATTAACGGGACAAGGAGAAAGTTTGGTTCGATTGGTTCAGTTTCAGTCAAGAGCACATGAAGGATAAGGATGCTGAGTATCTACAGACAGAAACATCAACATTTCTTACGACTACTTTGAAAATCTATAAAAAACTATGGTCTTTCCTTCAGGAAATCCTTGCAGATGCTTCTTTTGTTTTCACAAACTCAAATCCTTACCTTGACTATCCCCGTCCGATGCTTCACAAAACCATTCCGCTCGGTGGAGTGGCTGTTCGTGTAGATCCCAAGAAAAATGTTCTCTCGAAGGTTTGAGATTTTATGAAATGTTTAAGAATTTCCGAAAAATTTCAATAATTTCTTTGCCATTTCAGGACTGGGATAGCATTTTAAACGAAAGGAACACAACCGTATTCGTATCGTTCGGCTCAGTGGCCAAATCAATCTACATGCCGGATGAATATAGGTGAGCCCTGTCGTACGAGTATGACTTCAGTAGTTAACCTGAAAAATAATATCTGAGGGTGACTAAGTGGGAGACCGAAAATGAAGAAATCCTCAAGTTTTCAGGAAAAATCTTCTGAAAGTCTTCGAAAGCATGCCTGAAACGACGTTCATATGGAAGTACGAAGAGGAAGGTTCAAAGTTGGCCGCTCATCTCAAGAATGTCCACCTCACCACATGGGCACCCCAGAACGCTCTTCTTGGTAAGCTTTATTTCCTCCCAACCCATTTCCTTTTACCCTCAATCAAAGCTTTGTCCTCCAACAGCCCTTCTGACGACAACGAAATTTCAGCTGATCCTCGCCTAACAGTTTTCATCACACATGGAGGCTTGGGTAGCTCTACCGAGCTGGCTCACTTGGGTAAACCAGCTATCATTGTGAGTTTTTTTTCCAATGACCAAGTTTCCTGTGTTTTCAGCTGTCCAAATAAGGGATCCACAGTTAGTACCAAATCTCTGTTGAGATGCCTGTTTTTGCTGATCAAGTCAGAAATGCTAATATGCTCGGTAAACACGGTGGATGTATTGTTCTGACGAAGCTCGCCTTAGAAGATCCTCAGATCCTCAAAGATGCTCTAAAAAAGATTTTCACAGATGCAAGGTACGATTTCGATGATCGTCATGATTGGGACCTCATCACTTCCACTAACTTGAAGACGAGTTCAGCTTCTCTAAAAATGCTAAACGACTATCGGAGATGCTTCTGAATCAACCGATCAGTGCTAAGCAGCTTCTCATCAGTCACAGCGAATTTGCTGCCAGGTGCGTTAACACTACAAGAAAATGACTTAAAAGTTCTTGTGCAGAAAGCCTCCTATTGCATGATCATATGGGCACGGGATCGATTACGGGCTGCTCAAAAGCTTTCGTGAAAATGCGTTACCAAGTATCTTGATAAGGCAATCGGGAAGGGATAAATACACCCTTATCCCGGCGGGCGGCGGTACTCCCCCCAAAATTCCGCCGCCAGCGGCGTTCGTTCCGCGGCCGCTATCGTATCCTTCCTCTATGGATTTATAGCCTCCCCCTCAAAGCGCGCGATCTGGCGCGGCTAGTGCGACGGGAAGAAGTACCCACACCTCATATTGATACGCGCAGCACTCTTTCGATATGTTAGAGATATTCCATTCAAAATTCAATTACTCTGAATTATTCGATCTGTGCACTATTTACTGACTTTCAACTTTATTCCACAGAGCGCTTACATTTTCACATGAGCAGGCGAATGATTGTTCAAAATTTTCAAAATTATTCCTTGATTCGTTTTAGATACGGACGTCTACCCAACCTTGATCCCTACGGCCGACATTTGTCTTTCGTTGAATACTTCCTGATAGACATTTTCGTTGTTGTTACCAGTACCGTTGTTCTTGTTGTCTTTATCGCTTTCAGTGTTGTGAGAAGGTGTTTTGCTGGTAAAAGCAAAAGTAAAAAGGAGTAGATCCGTTAAATGGCCGATATCATGTATATATCCTATCGATAAACAAAAATCTATTCATTTCTGCTTCCAACTTTCCATTAGTATATCAGGACATCTTAAATTTAGTACACTACTGGACCTACTTTCTAGATTTCTTTCCAGGTGAATTGAATAAGGAAGGGATATCAAGCCTAAATCCAGAGAGATGCGGAAATTGTGCTTAACTACATATGAAACTTTTAATGAACCTCTTGGGGGTAACATAATTCTTTAAAAGCTCCAACCTTCTTTTCATGCTGAGAACGCGTTTGGTCTTATTCGCCTTCATTTAAAAGCTAAGTCTGTTCCCTGACCAAAGTTTTGCTCGTTTTATTTCTCGCTACGTCACCAATAACGAGGAGATTAAGTTTCTTTAATTTTGTAATGAATTATGTTGGGGTGCGCCTCGTTGCGCGCGTCCGTCAAAACTAGGTCACGTCGCAGCCGTCGCACGCGGCGTGTCAGCCCGCGATCTTTGACGAACGTCGTAGTTGTCAGTGGGGCATGCGAATTGCTCTCGGTCCACGGGAGTCAGCCAAAGGAAAGATAGCACGGAAGAATACAAATCGTTTGCTCCACTGACACTTGGTGGTACTGTATTATCATCTTGGGACCTCAGTGGGGTGCGCCGCGCGCGAAGTGGGCGGGGTGACCTACTTCCGACGGACG